AATCTTCAAGGACACCGATATGATTGAAGTTAACATATGCCGAACTTCAACAGCGGGCCAAATTCCTCTACCATCGAGTTGCTGAAGAATAAAATAATTTTATGAACACCGTTTTTTCGCGGAAAACGTTGATACCTTCAAAAAGACTTGATAAATTTATGCTTGATGGTCAAACATTTACTCGACGTCGATGACCGGCATGACTGGCAAAAACTGTTGTGTAAATATATGCATGCTTTTCATCCGTCTATCGGTACATGGACTTTTCTAAGACTCTGTCTATATCCCTAATATATATTCAATTATACTGAATGAGGGCCTGTGACCGGAATAAAATCGAAAATGTTAAGAGGATTGTCACTCAAAATCTCTTCAGCTGCATCTGGCGTTTTTATCACAAAGATTGCAGTTGGCGAACATTTTTTGGATTAAAAGACTCAAAGATGGTCTTTGCCTCCTCTTTCTCATTAAATCAATCTCTAGTCTTCCATGCATTGACACTCTCACTTTGAAAGATCGGTGTTAGGCCACGTGTAGCTCCTCCACACTGATTTCCTCGCTTCTTTCTATACATTTAAACGCTCCATCCTTTTTATAGTAATAAAAATGGTATTCAGCACCAGTTTAGAGGCATTGCCAGGGAAAGATAGAACATAAATCGGCCCAGCAATGGAAAAATTCCCCTGACAATTAAATTAACGGGATGCTGTTTCGAGTAGTTTGCAGGGTTCAGGAGAAAAACTGCTGCCCATTAACTGACGACAACAGAGAAAGGGATGGGTAGCGCTGCATCGGAAATCATCAGTCGCCATTTATTTTCGTGAAGTTAGGACTGGACCCAACAGAAGCGCTGAAGAACAGCTGTCGCTGTTGGCCGAAGAAATTGTCCTCGGTGAAACCGGTCATGGGGATCCGAGACCAGGATGTATTCCAAATACCAATTGTGTTCACAGAAAAGCATCAACGATATTTTACGGTACGTGCCAGAGGACGAATTCAAAAGACCTCCCTGGTGACTATTACGTCGTGGATGGATAAGATGTCCTAAAATGGTGGGTGGGTTAAAGATACGACTCTATAAAAGTTTAAGTAGTAAAAATTGTTCGCCTTTTAATCTACGAAACCATAAAGGATAAAGGCCTGTAAGCCGGCAACGTTCTTGGTACGACCAATTCAGGTGTTCCGGGGTTAAAATTCTCTTAGTAAAAAAGTATTAGACGGATTCTATTTTCTTCCACTCAGCAGTACGCATGAGGCTAAATACGAACGAACACTATTCCAGGCCAGGTTTAACGTACATGTTATAAAGACGCATTCTAAAATCGCTGTTTTTAAAGTTTTGTGGGATAAACCCGGTCTTTCTGCGTGCTTTGTAGACTATCAAGGCATAGTATACCGAAATATTGAGACTCTTGGAGTATGACAAACCCAGATCCTTAATAACCCCAGGCAAATTTACGTCGTGACCGTTGATACTTAGTTGCGGTAGGTGGCCATCGCCGACCACCATGAGTGAGCAGTTATACAAAGAAAGAGAAAGGCGCCATGTGCGGCAGCACTGGGCGAAGGTCTGTAGGTCTCTCTTTAGGAGCTTAAGCACGATGTCACAATCTGCTAGCTTATTTCGGGATGTGACTTTCAGATCATCGGCATACATGAAGGGCTTAACATAGTGAAGTAGAACTGGTACATCGTTAACAAAAATGCAAAATAATAGAGTGTCAAGTACACTACTCTGAATCACTCCACTCCTCAAACATATGGGGTTGGAGATAGCATTTGAAATCGTAATCCGCTGTGTGCGAGCGCCCAGGTAAAAGGATATAAAATTCAGAGTTTTTTGTCACCTATTCCGAAAGAGAACGGTTTTAAGAGAAGATGAAGATGGTCAACACGATCGAAAACCTATGTGAAACCGAAATAGAGTGCATACAGTGCAGAACCATTGTCCCAAGATTGGAGAACATAGCTACTCGACACCTCACTCGATCACGAGTGGCGTACATCAAGGCACGGTCCTGGGTCCGCTACTCTTCCTTCTGTACATCAATGATATTTCGACTGAACTCGCAAATTCGCAAACTTTTACTTATGCCGATGACCTCAAGTGTGTTTACTCATACTCTAAGGACACCGCAAATGTTTGTGTTGAAAAAATTAATGCCGATTTACTACGCTTAAGCAGATGGGGTTCGACATGGCAGATGGAGTTTTCATCATCCAAGTGTAGTTTCATGTCTTTTGGTCCTACCAAACTTCCTGGTCCCATAATTTTTCAGAATAACCCACTCTCAGAATGTCTCACCATAAAGGACCTAGGTCTAAGTTATACAAATAAACTTGCTTTATCACCTCATGCAGATAGAATCTCTGCCAAAGCCGCGCAGATATGTGGATTCATATCGCATAATTTTTTCCTTCCGGAAATGAAGCTAAGACTTTATCAAATGTTTGTTCTTCCAGTCCTCGAATATTGCTGTCCTTTCTTCGGTTTAATGAACGCCTGCGACCGTAGTAAAATCGAAAATGTTCAGAGGGTTTTCACTCGGAAACTGTTCTCTCAAGCTTCGTCCAGTATTTCTTATACTCAGAGATGTCAGCTGGCGAACATTAAGTTTTTGTGGGTGAGAAGACTCGAAGCTGGCCTTTGCTTCCTTTTTCGCATCAACTCTAGCTCCAGTCTTCCGCTCATTGACACTCTCACTCCGAGAGATCGGTCTTATGCCACGCGCAACTCCTGCATGGTGATTCCGCCGCCTCTTTGTACTACATCTAAGCGCTCCCTCTTCTTTGCTTCCAAATATGCCTTCCTTTGGAATAATCTTCCGCCTGAAATTAGATTATCGCCTAGGTTACTGATATTCAAGTCGAAATTACGCAACCATCTTACACCGGAAAGCATAAAGGCACTGTTAACGGTCTCATTCCCGAACACTCAGATTCTTGACTTCGAGAAGGGTCCTCCTGGGATTTAGTGGTAGATTAAGTGGTAACTCTTAATTATATCATTAGAAACCCCTGTTTTTAATTGGTTTCTAAATCCCTTGCTATCCTTCCCCCCTTCCCCGATAGCGACAATTTTCGCGGTTTTTGATGTCATCTCCCGCATTCCGACCTCATGCGGTCTGTCGACACTCACGGCGGAACCCTCAGTCTTCACTGTTTACTAGTAGTTCGGTCGTACCTCCCTTCCTCACTGCTCGGCTGAGCTCGAAGCGTGCTGTGGCCGATCGCATCTCGGTTCCTCTCGTCTGGCCTCTTTGACGCGGCGTACCAATCCGGCCCAGACGATCTCAATTGTAAATCCCGTATACAATGCCATTTGCAAGCCAGTCCTGTCTGACCCACATTCGTACCCATCAAGGCGGACATTTATTGATACCCTGACGATGACCGACAACATTCCGTTATATACCGCCACCTACAGGCCAGTCCTGCTCGCTTTTTTCTGTTATTATTTTTAAAGAGGGGTTTTTTTTCCCTGTAAAATTAATCCAATCATTTTTAACTTTTTGTAAGGAGTTTTTTTCACCCCTCAATCATCATGTTTCTCAATGGACTTCTAATTCAGAAACTATTAATTGCATTTTGTAAAGATTCGGCCTACCTCGTCTAAAACTCGCATGCAAATTTATTTTAACTTGCTTTGATGGGACCCCGACGGGTCTTTAATAAAAATTATCTATCTATCTATCTATAGTCAAAGAAAGAGAGTTGACAGGTGTCACAAAACCGATCTTTGATGAATTCATTTTAAGCAGCTCTCAATAGGTTATTCACTGTTAAGTGACGCATCATATCATCTTTGATCAATATCTCTAAGACTTTCGAAACCGCGAAGGTAGCGTTTATTGGCCGAAAGTCATCAAATGACGTATATTGGCCATAATTTGAAATAGGCGAAATGTTTGATTCCTTCCACAAGGTAGGATAGGTTTCAATTTCAAGTGCGAGATTAAATATCTTGCATAAGAAGGTCGGGAAATTTTATTAGCATCTGCTTTTAGAATGCTAACTGGGACACCATCAGTTCCAGGGCTATGAGATTGACGAAAACGCCGAATCGCTACAGTTGCGTTTCACAGAGTGAAAGTTAGAGTTTCGAGTACTGTCCCGGTCATTGACTAGGTTGTCATATGCGGAGCGGTCGAGCTTTTACTAACTGTTTTGGACAGGAAGGCAGTAAAAATATTAGCGGTCAATTGTGTTTTATCTATAGAATTATCGAAAGCATCTCGAAGGGTGGCATGCTGCGTTCTTATATGAGTTCGTACTTTTTGGGAGAACAGTTTCGAGACATTTAACGAACGGATTTTAGTAAATTGGACCTCTTCGGCTAGCCGTTTATCTTCGAACAATCTCTTAGCCGCTCAAAATAGCACAAATCGAGGTAGAACGGAAACGTCGTTCTGAAGATGGAATCGACGAGAAGGTCTGCGCAAAGTGCGGCGAAGTGGTGAGGGTAGGAAAAGCTCATCCCCGACATTACTTATTTTTTTACGCTGGGCAAAACAAGAAATAAGCGGATCTAAAATTTCGTACAGTTCGACAGTTCAAACATTTGCATCCGAACTTAGGAAATAATCAGTCTAATCTTAGGAATTAAGGTGCGTTAAGAATTCGGCCGAGCGCGCTGATCGGAAATCGAAGAAGAGGCTATACTTTCGGGACAAAATTTTGTCAGCTTCGAGTTCTAAATTTGAAACAAATAGGTCATGGTCTGAGCCCTCAAATGGGCCTAGGGATGCACTGGCAAAAGCATGCGATCTCTTAGAGAACTCAAGGCCGACAAAGACTTGGTCATCGTGCCAGCGGACAAGGGGCGCTCCACGGTTGTGTTGGACAGGACAGACTACGCTCAAAAAGCCAAAGGCTTACTGGAGGACCGATAGTTCTATGTCGCATGTGTAACGAACCCTGTAAAAGCGCTGACACGCGAAATTAATGCTACGCTGTTGGCCTTGGAGAACTCAGGTGCAATAACACCGACCGACAGACGCATGGCGAGACCCCAAGATACGGCTTTGGCCCGATTCTATGGCCTCTCTAAGGTACACAAAGAGGGCGATCCTCTCCGACCCACCATGCTGCTCAAGGATACTCCAACGTATGGACGGGAAAACTGGCCGTTCCAGCGTCTTAAGGTCCTGACCGCTGAGTTAGACATCACGGTCCCTTCATCAGCAAAATTCCTGGAGGAACTTAAAGGGTCAGGTCTCCTTCCAAATGAGGTCATGGTATCTTCCGATATTGCGTTATTTTCTAATTCTATTCTCCAGGACCTGACGATCAAGACCACCGAGCTCTTCTCACAAAGCGAATACGATGAAGTGGAGAGTCGTCTTGGACACGCCCAAGTCCTTCAGCTCCCGAAGCTTCGTCTCAAGACGTACTTCACGTTCGACGGGACAATCTACGAACAGGTGAAAAGCACACCAAAGTGTTCGCTGATTTCAGGAATCATCGCCGAGGCACTCCTGCAACGGTTAGAGTCGCTGGTCTTCCAACACCACAGGCCGAAGTTGTGGGTCCGCTATGTCGATGATACCTTTGTCTTTATCGACCGTGATCGATTGCTAACATTCAACAAACGGCTCAACGCTATCTTCTCGGAACATATAAATAAATATGCGCAATGAACTTTTGGAGCTTTAATAATGATGACGCCCCATTACTGGAGTTTTCAAAGTACCGAGAAGGCAGTGAGATATTTACATGCCAGGACTGGGAGGAAAATCCTCATACAGAGATCTAGACAGAAGTTTTCAATGGTGAAACTTCGGAAAAGTTATAAAATGAGTGTCACAAGTGAGTTTTTCAGAGGGAAAGTAGGTGATAAATTATAGGCGTAATCGGGACAGTATAATCCTGCTGATCAGATTCTATATATTGGATCGAAGTGTTCCCCAACCAGGCCAAAGTAGTTAACTGACAGAGGCTACTGGCACATCCAAAGCCTTGCAGCTGCAATAAGAATGTTTCTTGGCCGACCGAAAGATGTGAAACAGAGGGACACTGTTCGAGCTTTGCTAATTATTTCAGGGACGGAACGGGGGAGGAAGGAAAAAGACAGCTAAGACCGTCACTACAGAAGGACACAATTAATGGACTTAGCAGCTAAATGACAGATCGGCCGTCGATTTAGACAACATCCACAGTGTTTCCAACAGCAGGCTGAGAGCAGGAACGGCGACTCGAGCATGAATTTATTCCTAGTGATGGCCGACTTTCGCAGCACCTACCGCACTTTTCCCTCCTCCCCCATCTGGATAGCGTGTCACGAGCAAGTCAAAAAACCGGAGTTGCAGCAGGCTGCGGTTGGTTGGCACGACGAGAACACGCACCTAGGCGTACCCCACATCCCCTGATCCACAAGGGACGCGAATCAGGCGTTTACACCACAACACAATTAGGAGGCGACAGGGATCCCAAATGACGTGGCGTGAGCCTGCAACCGTGCCTGCTGTTCCGCCCTAATGTCGATATTTTTATGGTTACGCATTCCCGATAACGCCTGCAGGACTTCGATCTGGCCCCTGTGTTGGTTCAGGGCATCTACCGCGTGGCCCGTTTTATAAGCAAAGAAAACTACAAAAACACAGGAACGTCCAGGTTACCTGAGTTCCTAGTTAGTAAAGCAGAACATGGAAGATCTACCCATAAATTTCGGAAGGGCCCTTTTAGAAGTCCAAAAGCTGAGTCATTGGTAATGAAACAAATGGCTATGAACTTATACCTGCCGAGCTAAGATGGTTACGTAGGTTGCTCTTGAATACTGATAAGTCGGGGGACGACCTAGGTTAACCTAGGAATTTTTCATTTAAATTTAAATGAAAAATTCCTTCAAACAAAATTATACGATTTAAGAAATTTCTGGACATTGTCGATGTTGCCACGGTCACTGGCAGTTATTAGATCAATAAAGGATAGCACTATGCGATGGAGTGGGCAAATATTTGACAGTCTTAGCCTCATTTCCGGATAAAGAAAGTCAAAAGGCATTAGAACTCGTGTCTGCTGAACGTTTGTGAGAATTCAATCTGCAGTAAATGACAAATATGATTTACTCGCATGCTTGAAGTTGATTGTTTGAAAGATCTTTAAGGAGGGAAGTTCAGCGAGACCGAGGCGTATGAAATTATACTTCGAAAACGAAGACTACGTCTGCCGAGTCGAACTTCATTTCAACAGCAGGGATTCAATTTTTTTTAAAAAAACAGTTGCCTTTTTCACAGAAAATTAACAAACGCAATTAAGTTCATCAGCATAAATAAACGTTTTTGGATGTTGATTGTGTGTGAGATGTGGCTATCGGTAAAGATGAGTAAGGGCTGCAGAATCTTGCCTTGCAGCCTGCCACTCGTGATTGGGTGATTTTGAGTAGCAATTACCGACCATGACTTTAGGTGGACTAGAGAGACCTGATGGAGTTGAGAGAATAGGCTGGATGCCACGTACTTCCAGTTTTACTAAGAGATGTCTGTGTGGCACCTTGCCGAGGGCTTTATTAAGATCAAAGTGGATAAGTACAACTGTCTGCCGCTCATTGCGAAAAGAAACGCTTAAGTTGAGAAAGGCCTGGCGACACGATCCATAAGATCTTTAAAGTCATGTTGCTTAGCGCTCAGGAGTTGATTATCCAGATACAAATCAAAAATTTCACTGGAAATTACCCTCTCGAGTGGTTTCGCTAGAGACGGAGTTCCATGCGCGCTCCGATATTTATTAATGTTGGAGAAAGACAATGACGGGAATGAGAATGGATCTTTCATGCTTCAGGGAAGAACCTGCACGAAAGGCTATCAGAAAATAAGCGACCAAGCAGCCCGGAAATATCTGACACCCTACTGATAATTGAACTTGGAAGTCGTCCGCTTCTGAGAAGTACGAGTACTTTAAACAGCTTATTTGTTTCTAAATTAGTTCAAATGGAATCAACATGATACTGAGCAACCTATCTGAACGCGGACACATGAGAGGAATTGGTTTGAACTCAAAAGTAGAAAGTTCGGCGAAGAAGGTATTATAGAATTCGGCTCTGCCAAAGTCACTTATCACATCTCCGAGTCTAATTTGGATGTTTCCGTGTTTCTTAAATAAACAGATAAGGAATCAGTTCACGCACCTTGCAACGCCATTCTCAACCTTTTTAGTCAAATAGAAAGAACGAGAGGAAAGGTGAAACCCAAAAAGTTAGACTTGAGACTTCTGCGTGGTACAAATGTTATAGAACCTTCGGCAGCAGCCTACATGAAGTCACAGATAACTTATGCATAATTACTAGAGAAAAGGTTGTGCCCGTCCATTGATCTATTAATTTTGCTGATTAAGTTGCGGTCTATGAAATTTAAATCTTAACTTTTTGAAAGAAAAGCATTAGATAACAGTGCTGTTGCAGCCTAACCCCGTTCCTGAGGACTGAGTTCTCTCGTCAACTGGCAGTTTACTAAGTCAAGACGCTTGGAACTCAGCGACATATTCAAGCGCACCAACACTCGGGACAAAATCTGGCGGACGCAGTCACGACGAGGATGATCACAAACTCATCACTTCCATTTTGATCGCACTATGGCAAGTGAAATTCACGTAAGGTCTGCCAACTTGAATGCATATCACTGATAGCCAGTGGGTTGACCGGTTCTTCCCTCAGTTCGCTGGGATTGTCAAAGGAACACAAAAATTGTCCACTCCATTCAGTAAGGCGAAAGAGGGTGCTGTGGCTGGTCACAGCCACGAAGAAGTACCACAGGAGGGTTTCGCAGACTGCTAACTGGAAGACTCGGTCAGCGACAATGCGATGACTCTGCACCCTCTGAAAGTAGAAATGCGCAGGGACGCAGAGACGAGGTCAAAGGCAACAATTCCGACTGCCATACTCCATTTAATTTAATGTAGTGGAGGTCAGGCTACTATACACCGGAAGGTGGGCGAGAAAGTGATGCAGTTCTCACTTTGGCCATCTTGAGTAAATATAACAAACGACCTGTACGCCCGTCTTAGGTCTGGCATCTTCTGTGATGGTGTGCTTGAGAATGTCCCGAAGGCATAACACAACGCCAAAAGTTCACGACAGCTTCGAGATCTGGACGACACAGATGAATCTCCTAAGCATGAGGACCAGAGCCGCCTTCAGAGACGTCGAGTGAACGGGCTAAGAAAAACTGCTGGAGAAATGGAGTACTTCGGTCTCGGTAGCCACGCAGAACGATTATAGTCCTAACCTGCCCAATGAGATCGAAAAACCCCCTACGATGTGCTGGTGGCTGGAATAGTTATGATTTTGGACCGACGATATCTGTAAGGCTAACTGTGGAAAATCTTCTGGAGACATTCGCATCCCAAACCTCAATGACAATTTCAACCTGCAGTGCGGGCAAATGTGAGTGTTTGAACAAAGTCAATCAGAAAAGGCAATAAGCAATCGTATCGTACTCGAAATCGCCGCTATTTAACAGAATAAAGAGCATAATGGCGTCCTTGCCAAAGCAGGGTTTTGATGACTGAAGTGGGCCTTAAGATTGGGATACCGAAGCGGAAATCGACCGCTAGAACAAAAGCTATTGCTTTATCAGCGGAGACAGCAAGCGGCAAATATAACGAACGCACGGGCCGCAAATGGACAACACTGCACACTCCACGCGTCCGTTAAATCCTCTGAGGATGGTGCCGGAAAAGAACCCGTAGCGCCAGGCCAGTAAGACTTACGCCTCATTCTCCGCAATCAATCCCAGGGACTTAGATGCTCATGGATGTCGACAAGCGACTGCCCTAACGGGCTGACCCGCCTAATCGGCAATTGTGAAAACTGCCAAGCTAACATCTACGGTACCGCAAAACAAACTTTTTCGAGATATCGAGTTTGCTCGTCTTTGCCTCCACACCCCGAGTGCCTGACAGCGGGCTTTATTGAAATCCTCATCGTAAAGTTTATCTAGACTTTAATGGAAATCAGCCTGATCCCCTTCTCTTTCTGGTATAGGTCATCTCTAAACACGAAAGTGATATTAACCACTAGATTTGGGCTGCAGGCCGGCATTTTTCATTTTGCCTTGGAGTTCTGGGTACGTAGAGCTCGCTTGCGATTGCCGTGGGACGAGATGTCACTACTGTCAGTTCGATTATGTCTCCTATTAAAAATAATCTCTTTCATCTATGCCGACGACTCTTCCTATCCTCGCTAATCAACTCGTGCTAGTACTGCTCCCGAAAAAGTTAAGAATCCTGCCTTACGTTTGAAGACAAGAATTCAACAGGCATGTAAGCGAAGAGCGCGCCTGCAAAGTAGTTATCGTAGCAAAACAAGACATAAGTCGACTGAAACAAATGAGCACAGGAATGAAGACGCAGAACTTTGGACGTTGGGAAGCGTAAGCTTATGTCTGCTCCCATGAGGACTTTCCTTCAGAAATGTGCACAAGGAAACCGGGAGCGAGAGGACGTGAGGGTTGAAAGCAAAGGGCCCAACGGCGACGAGGTTTGCAAGGTAAGGAGATAAGGGAGGAACAACAAGAGCGAAGTACAAAGACGGACAGGAGCTCAAAAGTGCTTTGGTGGTCTGGAGCCGGCTGTCGGCGCTACTGGCCGACACTGGCTCCGCTGTGAAGCGGGTTTAACAGTACGAGGATAGGGCAGTGGTCGA